ACTCCAAGACTGAAATCGATGTTGTTTTGTCTGAGTGGCGCACGCACTCGAAAGCCATGGAGGCATTAAGAGAACAGCCCGCTGGTGCAGTTCACGGTGATCTATGCTTAACTCCCGGTCGAACTGAAGCTGGAAACGGAAGTGTGGACGAGAATTATACACCTCCAGACTTGTTCTTGAGGTTGAGGCCGAGTACTGGCAGGTGAAAGTTTGGATATATAATACCTATCGGGTGTATTTCTGGCGCGACTATCTACATGTATAGCCTTAACTTAGTATTAGAAACATCAATTATCTGTGAACTAGGAGGTAAGCCCACGTATTCTTATTTATGGACTCAATATACCCATGACTACCGCAAGCTGATTCGAGTATTGCTGGTTCCAGTGGTAGGTACGGATATTGAACAAAATGTGACGCCACGAATTGACTTATCATAAGCATACAAATTTGGAATCTATATCAGTTGGGTATCTAACGCAGGAATCAAGAATAGCTAAGGCACATTTGAATCTCATAAGGGCGGCTCAAGCGCCAGAACCCCATCCAGTATTGAATCCGGCGTCACATCAGCGAGAACATCAGATACCGCATGTAAATTACTTCCATACTGCAGACTGCGGTCTTCGCCAGGGGGAGTAACAATAATGCGATGGCGAAAGACTTTCCTGGCGGCTAGGGCCACGATGGAGGGAGTCAGATAGTCGATACCATGGAGAGGAGCTAGAAGTCTGTAGAGCAAAAAATAAAATGAGCTACGCGTAAATTGTTTTGTGGAGGACGGGTTTGGACTCACTGTGCAAATCGAGAAAATTGAATATTTGCATTGGCAGATACGCCACCCGCGACAGCCCGACTGAGCCGCAGAAATACAACAATATCCTGGATGTATCGAACGACTTCCGCGCTCGTGCTTACCGATGCGCTTCTTTCCCGAAGTTGATCAATCATCTATAAGTTCGCGGGCCGGGTATTAGACAGTTATGTTCTGTGCGTGGATTGGAATAACACCAAACTTACTAGTGGGCTGACCGTAGCACGCTTAGTTTGCTTGCCCTTTGAATTATGAATAACAGAGGAAGCGGACAGATGTCCATCTGAAAGCCAGTCAGTCTCTTCAAGATAGGTATACCCAGCATCCGGGCTGTGGAAATGAGAAATCAAGAGATTGTCATTCTACCGCGGCATTAGCTAAAGTAAAGCAGTCAAATGCGGGCGCGCACAGATAATACTTACCATATGTGGTTTCAAAAGTGGTCGGAGCTGATCGAAATCTCGTGCCACAAGAGGGACGAAAAGGAAGTCTTGAGGCGCACTCAGGGTCCCGCTCTCAGTCACCAACTCCCTCGATCGCATTAACTATCTCGCATGTCAGCATTGTTATTACTGGGTTATCGATCGCAATCCATACCTGGAGCATGTGCATTTGGATATCGTCACTGACAAAATTGAAGTTCTTGGCCACCACAATGTTGACAACGTTATTGAGTTGTGAAAAGGGATCTGGTGATTTGCTGTAATCCCCAAGACTCTTATAAGAAGAACGTTTGCTTGTCTAATCCTATCAGGCTATAACCATAGCGAAACTTGGAATATCAACATACCGATTCAGTGTCCAACCACGGACGCGATGGGCGATAGTTTGCGCGTGCATCCGGGGCGAGAACATCATTGAAGATCTCGTCAATAGATGTTTCAGATGAACAGTCAAGGATGCAGTATGAGTAATTGAATGTATTCGAGCCAATCTGTCTTTCATTAGAGATCATATCGATATTCTGGGTGCATTGACATACTAAGGCGAGTTCTTTGGCGAGGTCATTAATACAGTGGCTGGAGGTCTCGATCAAGCAATGTTCGCGGGCAACAAGGCACAGTAAAAGGGCTACTTCAAGGTCAGATAATTGTCGAGCAATATCGGCAAGATCTGTATAGTCCATGTTTTGGAAAAGATGACCAAGTTAGCCAATGAAGACGCAGCAAGTATCAAAAGAAGTCGAGGATTGTGGTGAGGAGTTTCTGCCTGATAACCAAGGCGACAAACCCACCAGATCAGGTCTAGCGCCTGGCCTCCGTCCTGCCGATCAACAGCTCGAACATCCAACAACTGCCTAGGTAGAGGATTCAATGCCTCATTTGTGATCATATCCACAGTCATGCCACAAAATCCACTCGCAAACTGGGAAAAGGTTGGAGACAGCTTTTATCGTAAAATCGCTGTGTATGACGCCATCTTCGAGGACGACGTCGAGTTAGAGAACTACATTGTCGCGGGCGCCCCCTACGGAGGAGCTATTGGTAAGTCTCCATCAGAGAACCGAAGATCTGGACTAACGTGGATACTAGCGCTCTATCGCGACGAAAGCAAGCCATTCAGGCTTCGCGATGGACAAGGTTCTCGTTCCACCATTGATGTTTATTCATGCTCTGGACAGAAGATCAATCGTATAAACGTCTGTTTGCACTTTATGATCGAGTCTGATGAATATACTAACTCGTTCTAGTGGGAACAAGCCACTATTCGCGGACTAGGATGGTCTGATAAGGAAGAGCTCCTGGTCGTCTCTGAAGACGGAACAGTGCGACGCTACTTCGGATTGGACGGCGAGTTTACATCCTTCTCTCTTGGAAATGTGAGAGTTGTTGCCTGCTTGAACTAGCTATATTGTGCAAAACTAATAATGTGACAGGGCTCCGAAGAGTATGGCGTGAGGGCCTGCCAGTTTTGGTCATCAGGCCTCGTTGCATTGCTGTCCAATAACCAGCTAATCGCCGTCTCCAAATATGATGAGCCGCGCCCGCGGCTGTTGGCCCCTTGTCCGGAAGGCGAGGTATCATCATGGGCTTTAATTCCACCAGCCCATACACTCTCACGCTCTGTTGAGGTTCTGTTGGCCGTTGACAAGACCGTCTTTTTAATTGATTCAACAGAAGCAGAAGACAAGATTCTGCAAGACGGTCCATTTAAACACATTAGTGTATCCCCAACAGGACGCTTTGTCGGAATTTTCACTGCAGAAGGGAAGTTATGGGTAGTCAGCAATGACTTCCAAAACAAGTTCAGCGAATATGATTCCAAGTCTCGGGTTCCGCCAAATACCGTGAATTGGTGTGGCGATGATGCTGTCATTCTTGGATGGGAAGATGAAATTCATCTTGTTGGGCCCAACGGAGTTGCATCAAAGTGAGTGGTCTCATTTGTAGTATCTCCCAGCATGATCTAATCATCCTAGATACTACTACGATGGCCGCGTCCATGTCGTACCAGAGTTTGACGGAGTTCGTCTCATAACTAATGACACATGCGAATTCGTGCACAAGGTCGCTGGTAAGTTAGCATCACATGGAAACAGGCAGACTGTCATTGACAAGTTCTAGGTGTTACTGAAGAGATATTCCGTCTTGGATCGTCTTCTCCCGCTTCCGTGCTACTGGATTCGGTAGACCAACTAGAGAAAAAATCGCCCAAGGCTGATGAGAACATTCAGCGCATCCGATCGAGTTTACCATCAGCAGTTGACACTTGCATCAAAGCAGCGGGTCATGAATTCGACGCCTACTGGCAGAAGCGCCTGTTGAAAGCTGCATCGTTTGGCAAATCCGTCCTCGAGCTTTATAATAGTGATGAGTTCGTTGAGATGACTGAAAAGCTCCGCGTGCTCAAAGCATTAAGAGACTATAAGATCGGGCTGCCATTGTCATACGAACAATACCTGCGCCTCACACCGGAAGGACTCATCGAACGCCTAATCAGCCGGCATGAATATTTGCTTGCAATAAAAATTTCGGAATACCTGCAGATTCCTGCAGACAAGATTTATGTCCATTGGGCAAGCCAGAAAGTGAAGGTTTCGACTGTTGATGACGAAGCTGTATGCAAGCTTATTGTCCAAAGACTCGATGGAAAGCCGGGAATCTCGTTTGAGATTATCGCCCAAGCTGCTTATGACGAGGGCCGATCTCACCTGGCTACCCAATTGCTCAACCATGAACCGCGGGCCGGCAAGCAAGTTCCTCTGCTTTTGAACATGGAAGAAGATGAGCTTGCTCTTGATAAGGCAATTGAGAGTGGTGATAATGACTTAGTGAACTACGTGCTTCTGCATCTTAAGAGCAAACTTCCTTTGGCAAGCTTCTTCCGAATGATCAACACTCGCCCAATGGCTTCTGCACTTGTGGAGACTGCTGCACGAGGCGATGACATCGAGCTACTGAAAGACCTGTTTTACCAAGACGATCGGCCCATTGATGGCGCTAATGTGCTACTGTCAGAAGCATTACGTGATACGGATTTGACACGCCAAACCGAGAAACTCCACCTAGCATCTCGGCTCTTGTCGGATTCCAAGGAACCGACTGTGGTACTAAACCAAAAATTAGTCTCTGAGGCCTCCCAGCTTTTGAAAGCCCAAGACGCATTGGATAAAGACTTGGCAGACCACAGCGAGTTTCTTGGTCTTAGTCTCAACGAGACAGTCTACAGACTTATCCGAGGTGGCTACGGTAAAAGAGCACACAAGATCCAAAGTGAATTCAAAATGCCTGAAAAGACATTTTGGTGGTTGAGATTGAGAGCTTTGGTGGCTAAACGTGACTGGGGCGAACTGGAGGAAATCGCTAAAGTCAAGAAATCCCCAATCGGATGGGAGGTAAGGCAGTCGATAATCCTAAACTACTGGAATAGACGCTCACAGAAGACAGCCTTTCTACAACGAGATTTTGGGTGCTGGAAACACAAAACTTGCTTCAGGATTCGTGCCCAAGTGCACCCACTTGTCCTCTGCTGAGAGAATCGAGATGTGGGTCAAGTGCGGTATGATCGTGAAGGCCGGAGAAGAGGCACAAAAGACTAAGGACCTTAACACCCTGGAACTCCTCCGCACCAAAGCATCTGGCCCCGCAGCCACCGAAATCGAGCGCATGATCAATCAACTAAGGCCAAGGAAATGAGCCAACTAAAGATGTTCAACATGTATCACACAGGCCCGCTCCAGGTTAGTTCAGGTGATCTCGTCGATTTCATCGACAGTCCCAGAGTCGTCAGTTGCGGGATTGGGGCCTTCGGTTGCAATTTGGAAGACGTTATTTGTGACAGCAACCTTGGAAGGTGCAGAATCTTCGGCCATCGCATCGTCGTCCTCGTCATCCTCCTCGTCGTCATCTTGTTGAAGAGCGGTGAACGCCAAAGTTTTGCGGTTGGTGTCTTCCCAATCAGCCTAATTAAATGTAAGCACGTATACGCCAGAACAAAAGACCATATGTTTTGCATACTCTTCGGGAGTTGACGGCCTTGCCGCGAGCCAAACTTTTAGCCTTCTTGATTTCCAATTGATCCATCACAGCCTCAGCTCGGTCCATTCCCTTTTGTTGCCGTATCCGCTGAGCCCTTGAGATCTTGTCATTTTTCTTCTGCTTTTTCTGGATACCGGAAGTGGCGCGGTCAGCCAGAACTGAAGGCCTCGTTGTGGTGGGAGATTCCGCTCGGGGAAGCGAAGTCACCGACTTGTCAAGGTCGAGACTTGGGGACGCTGCCCTCCGTGCTGCCCGGGAACGCTGGGACTGGTCTGTTCAAATATTAGATACTCAGATGTCAATGTATGCGAAATTCATAGTCAAAACTTACTTTTGCTCTTCGCCATGGTTGTTGTTTTGAAGAATTATCAATCTCGTGGGGTGAAATCGCTATCGATAAAAAAGAAAGTTTACGGCAGACGAAGACGACCGAAAGTGCACCTTTTCCGCGCAAACATGTGCCTTCATGTCCTGTTCTACTCGCGTCTTGACACTCCCACGTTCTCTATCGATCCATGTTACTGCTCATGCTGGTAAATTCTTCTTGTTGAAGATATTCGTCCAGCTGTATTGACAATGAACACCCGCGACGGGCGTTCTGAGATCTTTCCCAACCACCACGATCAGTACGCAAGCCGCAGCAGTCATTATGAAACCGCCGTCACGACTTTACCAAACAATCAAGCGCTAGCATATACCCTTATTGCCCTTATTTCAATTTCTATCTTTCTCGGTCACCTCGGATTTATTCCCATATCGCTATTCCAGCTCCCTTGGGATCTCATTGTGTATTTTACACCCTCTCGAATCGTTATCGCTTTGGACCCTCATATATCGACCTCCGACCCAGAGACGCTAGCGTCGTCGCCTTTGCCCGTCCAAGTTAAAAGTGACGCGATGAAACGTATTCTTGGCTTAGACAACAACGTCTACTTTCCCTTCTTCTCCCGGTCAAAATCACTCTCTATCTTCGGAAATGCGCTGCTGGGAGACACCAAGGATGTCACGCCCCCGGGGCTAGGAAACTGGAACAACTCGTGTTTTCAGAACAGCATCATACAGGGATTGGCTTCTTTGAAATATCTCGCCGAGTTTCTGGGGCACAACGTGGACAACCTCTCGGGGAAGACTTCCGTATCCACGCACAGGGCACTACTAGACCTCATCGACCGTTTGAATAGCGCCTCCAAAAGCGGAACCAAGCTGTGGATCTCTGGGCCACTCAAGTCTATGAGTAGCTGGCAACAGCAAGATGCGCAAGAGTACTTTTCCAAGTTGCTTAGTCAAATTGACTTTGAAGCCGAGCGGTGCTCACGTGGAGAGACTTTGAATATGGGATTGAAAATTGCGGGACCCGATGAGAACATATTTCGAGAGAGCGACTGTGACGACCTAGTGGCGCCTTGGGAACCCGAATCGCTCCCATCGACAGATAAGCTTTATCTTGACAGGGGTTCATCTTGCAATCCTCTCGAAGGCCTACTCGCCCAACGAGTTGGCTGCATGGAATGCGGATGGACCGAAGGGCTCTCGTTAATACCTTTCAATTGCCTCACTGTTCCTCTCGGCAAAAGATCTTTGTACGATGTTCGCGAATGTTTGGACCAATACATGACGCTTGAGCCCATTGAAGGCGTGGAATGCGCTAAGTGCACGCTGTTGCATCGACAGGAGCAGCTTACCAACCTGCTCAGTGGATTTGAAGCGGATGAGAGTCGGCCAGACAGCCCCGACGAACCTCAACCGTTGGATGCTGTGAAACTGTCAGCCCACTCGCGGTTAGAGGCTGTCAAGACAGCTTTGAACAGCAATGATTTCAGCGAAAACACATTGGCGAACAAATGCCATATTAACTCAAAGAGCAGAATCTCAACCACAAAGTCTCGACAAGCCGTCATTGCGCGGGCTCCTCGCTGTCTTGCCATCCATATCAACCGCAGTGTTTTCGACGAGCACACTGGGACGCTGGAGAAGAATCTCGCGACAGTCACGTTTCCTCAAATGATTGATTTGAACAATTGGTGTCTTGGCACCCAACCTCTCAGCAAATCTGGCGACAATTCTGAGCATTGGGAGACAAATCCCTCGCGGTCCATGCTTCCGCAACCTGGCGAATCAATTCAAGTCCCTAGCAGACACTATCAATTACGCGCAATCATCACCCATTACGGCCGGCATGAGAATGGACACTATATCTGCTATCGCAAGTATCCGACATCGGAATTCACAGCTCCTGCACCGGACGAAATCCTTCAAGCTGAGGGTGATAAGGACAAGCCCGAGCGTTGGTGGCGCCTCAGCGACGATGACGTGCAGATGGTTAGTGAAGGTCATGTGATGACCCAAGGAGGTGCCTTCATGCTGTTTTACGAAGCTGTGGATGATTCCGTCTCGCCGTCTTCGACTCGATCTGCCACTCCAGAACATGACCTATGCGATAAATATGTGCAGTCTTCTCAGTTCGAAAGTGAAGAACCGATGTGCAACTTAGCCATACCAAAGGACATTTCCACTCCATCTACTCTCACCGACTTCGAATCTGCCACTTCTCGTGAAACCAGTGTCTCGTTGCTAATGGACGACTTGCTTCCTGTCGACCAACCTTTGAAGACCTCAAACGTGATTGACACCAATGCTGAACGGAATGCTGAACTGGACTCACCTTCTACAGTCGTCGCATGATCACCTCTTCTTCATCTGTTTTCTTGCTTTTTTTTTTGTCTTTGCCCGCATAGCCGTGCCCTATGGCCGGCTACTGCATCATCATGATACCCGATACATTCCATTTGGCGTTGATTTGAGTTCCACTGTGTTTTGAGAGTATTTGTGTAAATTAATGTACTATCATGGGACTCCGACGCGAGAATTGACTTCTTGAACCAATACATTTCGATTGAATTCAGCCTGACTCTAATTCCGTAGGCTCATTCATCGTAGATTGCTTCTCCTAACGCTTCTCCTAACAACCCAGTCAACACCGATAGCGCTCTTCGGATAAGATCCCCGCATTTAGACACGAGCACCTTGGGAAAGGCGAGCACGGGCGGTCCGGAATCACCTCATCAAGTACCTTGGGGTCACAGCATAAAACTACATCCCTTTCGCAATTACATTTGAAACTCCTTTTTACATTTTCAGCGAGGTTTACTAGCAACGGAAACTAGCAATTCTGACGTAAACAGAATCTGCTTCGAAGGTCGCTTTTCAGACGTTGGCTATTGAAGTTGCACCCGACTCTGTATAGATCCGAAGGTCTCCCGGGGTCCTCATTTACTATCTGATCGTCATAGGGTATGATATTGTCTCAAATACTTGATAAAGCTGGTTCCTATTCTAATTCAGCAAAAGTATTCTACATCATCTTCAATAATGTCTATCAGCAAACGCTCACAACCACACGAAATATTCCTCATCAATGAGCTACTTGAGAACATCCTTCTACATACAGAGATGAGGACTCTATTAACATCTGCTCAACGCGTATCTCACGTTTGGAACAACGTGATCAGAGCATCAGTCAGACTCCAAGAGTCCCTCTTCTTCAAACCCTCCAGATTTGAGATCTCGGATCCCTCACAGCGCCTTCGCAACCCGCTCCTAGAAGATATCCTCTGGGCTCAATTCTTCCTCAAGCAAGAACAAAACTCAGAGTCAAGAATTACCGACGTAAGCAGATTTCCGCTACAGGAACCTGAGCGTCGCAAGCTCAAGTCCTACCTACGAAAAGACGCCAGTTGGAAACGAATGCTACTTCAACAACCACCGACATCATCAATCGGAGTCCTTGAGATCATCAAAAGGTCAGACTCAGAATTCACCAAATTATCTACCAGCCCAAACGACTTCCTGCGAATGGGCCACATCTTGACTCTGCTCCAAGGAGGCAGCACCTTAATTCCAACCCGCAACAAATGGATACTGTGGAGTGGGCGATCCCGTATCAGAATGCCGTTGAACTTCGAATGCTGGACCCCCAAATGGGTCTATGAACCAAGTACCCTACGGCCAGTCCAGGAATGGATCCCAGAGAATATAGACTGGGATAGTCTACGGCTGGAGGTGGCATCGATGTATTTGAATGATTTCGATTGTGGTGTGGTGATTGTATCTGAACGGAGACAGATGCTTTTCCAGGGTGAGGATCGAGTTCACAGGGAGAGCAAACTCGATCGTCGACTGGAGAAAGCATTTGGGGAATGTCAGGTGGAGGTTGGAAGGAAGCATATAAATCACTCTTGGATTCCTATCAAAGGCGTTGGTGCTGATCGGCGATGGATTCTTAGACCCTGTTCTGCTACTCCTCTTGTTCCAACGATGAGTGACTCGTCCGAGACCTCAGATTCGTCTTCTATATCTTCGTTTTCTTTGTCTATCTAGAGTGGCCATACTTGAAGGCTGCGCGAACAGGCGTGTATTTCAAACATATCCAAGAAATTTCGAAGGAAACACCTTCAATTATCGCATTAATTTCAATCATCGGATTCTCTTAATAATGGCTGCTGTGTTATTTTGTAGAGGGTTAAAGACGGAGCTGCAACCCGCAACGGCTTTGCAATTACCACGGAGATTCTAAAATCAGTCAGAAGCTTAGATTGGCCCCGGAACATTTTGCGCCTGGTTCAAGGAAGGAGATGCCGACTGCTTTGAAATCCTTCTTGAGCAGGATCCAGTAGCTTGATTTGAGATACAAACTCCCTGCATCTATGACCAAAAGTCTATCCAGCCAAGTGCTCTACCCACAACAACGACTTAGATGTAAAAAGGAAAAGGAAACACATGCTTAGTCGCATACAATCTGTCAACTAAATATTAGAATGGCATCCTTTCCTAGGCCAGGGCCATATGTGGCATTTTATATCTTTTTGCCTCGGTCGCTAACTTAAGGGAAAGGCGATACATATCTGAGCTTGCCTTAAGATAACTGTCTTGTGTCACACTTTCGTCTTTCAAGAAATACTATTAAACGCTTCAAGGTCTTTTTCTGACTCTTGTTTGAGAGATTCAACGCTATAAGGCGTTAACACCTCCTAAATTATAGGGTGGTTAGGGGACCACCAAAGCCCTAGCAGACCAGACGATGCATGGAAAAATATCGTTCTTTATTCGATAGCGCAACACTCGCCACAGCCTATAGTGGAGTTTGTTAACACAAAAGAGAAGACTGGAGAGGATACGTATGTAGTGAGATCCACCAGTGTACTCCTTCGAGACCAAGTCAAACAATCTCGGTCGCAAACCCCAACGGAAGTCCCAACACTCATTTTGCAAACATCTTCCCCGTACAACTGCCCAAATTTTAGGTGCATATTCCAAAGAGCCAAATAGGAAGGAAACACACAATTCACCG